CCCCAAAACCCCAAAACCCCAAAACCCCTTTCAAGTATTTATAGTTGAAGATATAAACATTTAAAGTTCTGAAAAATGCTAATTAATCAAGAAGACCTGGCAAAATTGTGGAATGATCTATCTTCAAACTGAGGGGAAGCATGATCGATCAAGATCTTCGTAGCTAACAACTGAGATGCCCTTGCTGCTTACAAGATCCTTACAGACTTGTTAGTAGAAAGCTCAATCAGTTTCTCATGAAAACCGGTATTCAGCTACACTGATATTTACGAAGGAATTAAGAAAGAGGCGATTCCTGAAGAAATAAACTCATTGGTCTTCTTAAACTGCGGTGCAAAGATTGATTTCACTGAGCAATGGTTCTATCAAGGTGAGTCTGATATAAAAACCTACATTTTTGACTCAGCGAGGCCTATCCTTCACAACAATGTGTTAACCACCAAAGGAGTCTATGTAGTAGATTTTGGAGACATTAAGATAGAGAATTGTCCCGAAGACAAAGACATCCAAGCTTTTAACAACCAAGAAGGAGAAGGCGACCAAGAGACTATTGTTGATGGCGCGAAGGAATATGAGAAGATCATTAGTGGTAGTAAAGATAAAGAACAAAGCCAAGAAGAATCCAAAGAAGAAACTAAAGGATATGGCTTAGATGATAGCTTTGATATTGACCAAATTGGAAAGAAAAGGAGAAGAAATGAAGACACTAAAGAAGAAGACCGTAATAATAGAAGAAGACGGTATGAGGAATACTACAGTGGAGACTATTTCACAAACTGATGTTCTTACTTTACATACTGATTAGGAGTTCATCTGAGTAAGCAAAGTGTCGAGTTCTTTTGGCTCTGGATCTTAGGTCTTACTGACCAATTTATTCACTCAAAAATTTGCTATGAAGAATATTTACAAGAGTACGAAAAATGAAAGAAGGACTTCTTACTAATTTCAGATAAGAACTTTGATCAGGATAAAAACTTACATAGTTTCAATCAAGAAGAGGCAGAAGGTGGTCTAAAATTTGATAATAAGGGATATTTCTACAAAAATGTAGATCTCGAGACTGAAAACTTCAAAGTTGGATCTATCATCCCATCTCAAGAATTTAGGTTTGCTTTCTTGAGATCATGGTCCCTTTATGAAGCAATAAAGAACTCAGAATATGTTGCTATTAAATTGAAGCTCTGGCAAGATGCAGGGAAAAGCGAGCTAACAAGATTTCTAATGACACTAGGTATCCCAGAGTTCGAATATACTCAGCAGTACAAATTTATGACTCCAAAATATAAGCAAATGCTTAAAACTAAAATACCAGAGGTCGGACCAAAATTCGGTCTTGATGATTTATTATTCTCAAGCTTTGTTAGACAAATCAATAACAAAGCACAGATGAATGCCTCAGATATGGTATATGTAGTCACTTCTCTCTTGGAGTCTCCAAAGCCAGTGATGATTGATAACATCCCAGGAGAGGGAAATTTAGAAGAAATTCACCAACATTTAGAAGCATTTGACCCGGAAAATTTTACGATGAAAGATTTCAGAGAGAATCAGGTAGAAAACTTTTGGTCTGCTTATGAGTCACTAAATATCAAGAACTTTGATCTCATAAGTTGTGGGGTTAATATGAGTAAGGAGTATCAGAAGAGTTTGATCAGCCTTGGATCATCCATAATTATAAACAAGATAGTCAAACCTTGCACTTATTTCAGATATGCGATTATTAAAAACGATATTCTAGCAGAAGTAAAATTGTTTCATCATCCAATGGCTATTCAGAAGTTAGCCTTGTTTGTGATGGAAGCATATTTAGAGACAAGGAAGATAAAAGATCCCAAACCTATTATTTTAGCAGTGAAAAACACAATGAAAGATGTGTATCTTACAGCAGGAGTTTTAGGAAGACAAAATACTTACATCAAGTCAAGGAATGATTTTGGAGACCAATTCCGTGACGCAGCAGAAAAGATTGCTTCCAACTTCAATCATGATGGTTTTGATGCATCTCTCATTGAGATTAAGTCCTCCGATTTCGATGAGTTCCTTGATGAATTATTACAGATATAACTAAAATTCAACAAACGTTAAAATTTGAGGGGTTTTGGGGTTTTGGGGTTTTGGGGTTTTGGGG